TGTGTTTAGGAAGTTTAATGTTTTTTTAATTAAATTACATTCACTTGTCTCAGTCATGTAATTGGCTCTAACACAAAACCGTATTGATGTAAAAAAGCAAAAATGTAAGTGATGCATGATCATATCAGCTACTCATTATTGAAACAAAAACAGCTAATTTAGCTTATTGTATGCAAATTGTTCCTTGTGTCAAACAAGATAAAGAAATTTAAAAAGTAGAAAGAGTATTGTCTTTAACTGCAACTTAATATTTGTGCTAAAGCAGGATGCCTTCCATCATTTTACATAATGAATTTCCTCAAATGAGAGAGGGGGAGGCATGGATGCCAGGAAGCAGTCCAAAATGAGTTTATCCAATGTGACAGTTACATCGTCAGTCTCATCTTTAATGTTTTCATCCACTTTGGAGAATTTTCTGCATAATTATGATGTCTCTCATGCGTATTTGCAAAGTAGGTCGCACGCCTCTCTTTTCCCACCCTCACCAACTTGTTTAATGTGCTTCCATCTTCTGTCTCCATCTGAATTCACTCTTTAAGACAGAGCTCTGACTCCGCTGCACCCATTCCCCATACGACCACCACACGGTGCATCATTACATCTCCATTTTTTTCTTCCTTTCTCTGCATCCCTCCATCACTTTGTTGTTTCCATCTCCAGGAGGATGCTGTTTCCCTGCGTCCTCTCTCCATGAGCTCAGTTTCAGCGAGTTCATCTGTAATACTGGATTTTATTGTTTTTTTTTCATTCCTGCCTCCATCCTCTCTGTCTCTCTTCCATTCCCTCTTGTTTTTTTTCTTTTTTTTCTCAGAGACGGGAGCTGCTTCCAATCTAAGTCTGTGCTCTGCCTATGCGCTCTGCGCTCCTCTCCTCTCCTCTCCCCTCTGTGCTATACTGCACTGCTCATCTCTGCTCTCTCCACATCTCCATCTCTCCTCCTTCTCTTTCCCTACCTGCATCTCTGTCACACTATGTGCTCTCATCTCTGTTGGGCATTGCTACGCTCTGCTTTGTCGTTTGGAGAAAAGCTCTGGGTCCTTTAGTGCCAGAGCTGAACCCACTTCAGCTACTTGCAGGAGAGGGATCAGATGCTCCTGGTGCACTGGTTTTGACTTGCCTCTGGATTCTTTGGATCTGTAGGCGCTGGAGAGGAGAGGAGGGCAGGGAAGGGGTGAGAAGAGCGAGAGCATTCGCTGCTTGGAGAAGTCAAGGCTTCAAGGTGGTGGCAGCGGTGGCTGATGGTTGTCCGTCGAGGGTCATGCCCTGGGACTTGTGTGTTTTTCGGCTGTTGGAGTTGGAGACCTTCTCCCATTTTTGCCCCCCTGGTGGGGTAGAATTAATCCTGGTGCCGGGGAAAGCTGCCGGGCACCAGTGGCTGCAGCGTGAAGAGTGGACACCATGAACCAGCTGGATGCGCCACGACCACTCAACTGGACCATCCGAAAACTGTGCCATGCAGCCTTCCTGCCATCTGTGCGCCTGCTAAAGGTAAAAAGAAAAAAGCTTACAAGAGACGACAGACTGGGATTGAACTAAAAAATAGATGCCTTGGGAGAGGTGGTAAAATATGTCAGGCAGCCCTTCTGCTATCCTCTTGCTTTCCAAAAAAAGAGGACACAAAATGAAAGATGAACACCTTGTATTTAGCAGTGACTAGAATAAATTGTGGGAATTTTTTACAGCTGAAAAATAAAGAAAAGTGGGGCAAAGCTGCCAGCACAACACTCTCAGAGGGGAGCTTAGAGGTTTGGAAGAGTAGGGATGTACAAAGAGTGGAGGATAAAAATGGAGACAGGGAAAAAGCGGGAGCACAATGCTGGAGAGACGCAGCAGAGAGTGGCACAGGCACGAGAGAAAAGGGCGCCAAAGAAAGTGTGTGAAGATAAAAAAAAACAACTCAGCACTGTCTTGTTAACATGTTGAGAGCAAACAGATAAATATGAACTGCGAGAACAGATGTGGAGAAATCAAACAGAAATGGGATTTTAGAAGTAAAAATATAAAAAAAACTGAACAAGGGTTATGAAAAGGGTAAATGTGGATGCATGAAATGTCAACAGAGTGATCAAAGGGAATGATGGATGAAAACTAGAAAGACTGAATAAAAAGCTAAGAGGGTAAAGGGAATTTTGGGGACATAGGAGTGTTAAACTAGAGATTATGGATGGGACTGACTGTAGAAGTGTGACATTAGATGCAGAGATACACTTTAAAGCATTTTTCTTGAAGTTGCTCAGGTTTAGATGTAAAGCTATCACCTCACCAGCTGATTCTTCTGTATCTGTTTATGTTCAGATTAATCTGGGCTTCATAATGGCCACTTATAGACATGCATTGCTTCAAACCTGTTCTTTATGCCTTCCTGTGGTTTCCTAAGCCAGTTACAGGTGCTCTGCAAGGAGGGCTTTTGTTCAAGGTCCTGAATGCATCTTCTCCTCTCGTCTTTGATGTGGCTTTATCAAAGTGTCTCACACTGACAGTGTTCCTGTGATGTCGAACCTCACAACCAGAGTGCCTTGGCTCATGTGACACGCATTTGCATTTGTATAGCCTGCTTAAATGAATATCATTGTAATACCTGATTGAATGTGCACTCTGCATTTGTGTCTAAGTGTGGGAACGTTCAAAGTGCATTTAGTGGCACGATGCGTTTTTTCACAGGACAGTTTAGTTCTAAATGAAACATTTTACTATGCCAATTTTTACAGCTTTCTTCTTTGTTGTAATTAATGACTTACTTCTATTGTGTGTCGCCTCATTTGTCTGAAGATAATCATCGAGTTGCATCAAATTCTTACCTAAAATTGTCCAAATAAATAGCTCCAAAGGAAAGAAGTATAAACATTTATATACAATGTCATTTTGCTTTACAGAAACAAAAGTATGAAAATGCATTTTTCTTGTTTAGCTAACATCTGGAGCTAACAGCTGCTGATTTTTAGCTTTGCTTGTGTTAGCAGCCTGGTTGACACTACTGTACGAAAGATTATGGCTCCTAAAACTGTGTTTACTGTACATGGAGAGATGGTAGTCTGTCACTGGGAAATTAACCTAACAGCCTGTAATTATTGTGGGAAATTCCTGCCTGACAATCACTTTTCTGCCTACAACCTATTACATACCACCTGCTGCAGAATGTAGACATGCACTGGTGTGTGTGTGTGTGTGTGTGTGTGTGTGTGTGTGTGTGTGTGTACCTTTAAAGGGTGTCAGGGGTGTTTGCTGTCCTGTTAAGATGGGAAAGTCTTAAAAATGATGTGTAGGTGTGTGTGTGTGTGTGTGTGTGTGTGTGTGTGTGTGTGTG